TTAAAAATGCGAGCAATCAATTTGAAATAGTGGAACTTAAGAACTGTAAGCGGACGGAAAAATGTGAACGGAGTGTAGCGCTTAGATATTGCAGACGAACTGAGTCCAGCCTTTAAGGATCAATTTAACTGAGGGAGAAAGTGGTAAAACTATGTCGTCAACTTTGACTCGACCGAGGACCGCGAATGAGGATATAGTTGGAGTTGTCAACACTAATAACCTTATAACTTAACCTTGACCCTAAAACTTTTTCTAAAGTCTAACCCTACCACAAACCGCTAACTCTAATTTTTACTCCGAACCCTAAGCTCCAAGTCTAACCATACCATTTGATCCCAGCTCTAACCTTACCTTCTAACCCTTACCCCCATCCCTAAGTCTAACCCCAGTAGTAATATTGTAGGGGGTTAAGTAAGTTAGACCCTAGCAACTGCGATCTTCAGGCCCAGTTCCTTAAGAGGAGAGAAGTCATGAGAGGCCAGAGTGGTGGGAAGATTATATTCTGTACAGAAGGAAGTGGAGAATAGGTAAGAGGAAGTCGACTTTCAGACCACCCCATAACCGCAAGCCAGCGGGCGGTGTCTGAAGCGAAGTCTGCTCAGCAGTCGTCACATGAGGTCCTTTGTCAGTCGGCCTGTGACTGGCTGTTCCAGAGGCCGGAACCAGTAAGCGCTCAAAAGTTCTCTTCGATGTGAGCTAGTCATGACAAACGTTCACAAGTGTACTTCGTGTGGAGCTAGTCGCTACAGAAATGCTTAAGGGAGGCGTGACGAGCATGAGCCTACGCAAATGATATAAATAGGTACTTCTTAAAAGTAAAGACTAGATGGGGCCACATTATGATGGTTATCGACTATTCGACAAGACTCAATTATAACCACCCTCACTCTGAAAGCTATGCTTACAGGGTTGTGACGTAGTTTCGTTTGGTAGAAGTCTATATTTGATTATCTACCTCGAAACTAATGTGACAATACGTCTATCACCTTAATTTCCCTGCATTTCAGTTTTTAAATTAACCTCATTCGAGACGATGCTCCCTGGCTTACTTGCTTGCTGGCAGAGTACGATGTAAAGGCACGAAATAACGACAACATGATAGCTTTACGCGGCAGCGTGATGGAAATTTATATCTATTGATCTGGATCAAAAGGCAAACATAAGGGTGTATAGTTATAGGGTTAATGTTCCAGACGTAATAGGTCCAGGCTTAGTGTTAAATGCACAGCTTAGAAAAGCATTACTAGGTGTTGATTCTGCTGATATCGTTCTTGAAGGCATTGGGAAGAACGAGTCTAAGAAACCGTGCAGGCTACTGGGTTGATTCTAGTGAGAATATGTTATACTTCAATCTAACAGATAAAGATTTTGTAATGGAACGACTTTGGAGATTTCAGTCTGGTTCCCATGGACGGCTGATAAAATTTGTTTTCAGCCCGCTGCAGCCGTAATTCAGCTAGAAATGTTTCAGCGAAACGGCTCGAACAACAGGCACCTGAGAATGAGCTCCAAGACAAGGCGGGACGAGTGGGTTCCGTTAACGATCGGTGAACGTTGATCAACAAGTGTCATTAAATTGTAACTTAGATCTCAACTCGCCCGTAAACTGAAACCCTGCAGTTGACACGAAGTCAAACAGTTAATCCTTGACATAATCCTGACCCTAACCCTTACTTCAATCCCAAACCTAATTTCACTGGAAGTGAGCGCGAATCCGCACGTATTGTGGGCGGCTTCTGTTCCTTAGCCGGCCATCCCTACCGGTGACCCAGGGACTTTGGGTAGTTTGGTGGGATCTTGTAAATTACCTTAAAGGTTTCGCTGGGTTCCACACGATGTCCGGAGTCAACCATGTGGGCAAGGATAGAACTGTTGATGCTTTTGATTTCACCTTTGGCTAGCCATGCCGAGAGGTGTTCCCGTATCCTTTTGGATAAGCGCCGACTCGTGCTTAAAAGAATTTTGTGCAAACTCCAGATCTGCCGTGGCCCAGAGTCACTTGGCGCATGCACTAATCCGCGCTCTGATTGGTTCCTGCTTGTAAGAAAAGAAGATCAATCGATTTTTTGAATTTAAATCTCCCATGTAAATTTATGGCCGGATGAGGATTTACCGAAAGTGTACACTCGCCAAATGCTGTTCTGAGCGTTCAAATATATCACGGTGCGCCAAAAGCCGCGGCTTAGCAGGTTGTAAACTGACTATTCAACCTACTCTTTGAAGGCAGCCCAGTATGTGTTTGTGTGCAGCGATCGACTGGAAGTCAGGCCACAATGGCTCCTCGTTAATGTGGCCTCTACGACACTCTGAGGCGTGTTAGATCCTAACCATCTACTCCTTCTGTGTGGAGACCTCGTGCGTTGGTGTTGAGGGATCAGGTTCTGTAGTGCACACGCGCGCACAGGCCGTTTAGCTTTGTCGGTCAGTGAGCCCAATTCGGACAGTGCCAAGGTCTACGGAACTGAGCG